ACTAGCTTACTTCGCAGCATTTGGACGGAGGAGCGTATCCCTTCTTCCTAGAGTGAATTGTTGATTGTCCCGATCTTAAAAAGGGATCACGCGACAACTGCGCAGACCGCCGCCGGATTAGTTTAGTTCCGATAATCACAAAAGTGATACATCGCCGCCTGACATCCTTTAGGGAGATGAATATAGGCAAACAGCAAGCCGGATTCCGATCAGGTCGCGGTTGCAGCGACCAAATCTTCACTCTGCGTCAAGTCTTCGAATTGCATCACACACATCGTCGGCCAACAATCGCACTGTTCCTTGACCTAAAAAGAGCCTTTGATTTAGTTGATTGTGAGGTCTTTATGGGGTCACTGCTTCGCAAAGGATTGCCGCGGAAGCATGTAAACCTATTACGGTCGCTGTACCTGCAAACTTCTGGTCGCGTAAGGATCTACAGTGGGCTAAGTAAACCGTTCGAAACCAGGAGCGGTGTTCGTCAAGGGTGCCCTATTTCGCCATTCCTGTTCGTCGTAGACGAAATACTGGAGGACGCACCACATGGTCTCCCAAATGTTGGTATTGAATGGGAAGCTGGAGAAAAGCTGTGCTATTTGGAGTACACTGACGACATCGTTTGCTTGTTTGAATGTAAGGAGGATGCGCAAAGCGCTTTTGACAGACTAGCAAGTTCTGTAACTCCTTTCGGAATGCGCTTTGCACCTTCAAAGTGCAAAGTGATGTTGCAAAACAGGATATCACCTACCCCGTGGTCAAGAATTAGCTATAGTGGAATGTTTCTCCTACTTAGGTAGCTGCGTAACAAATAACGGTAGCATAGTCAATGAAGTAACCACTCGCATTTCCAAGGCTCGAGCAGCTTACGCAGGACTGAAACACACTTGGTGCAGACGCGATGTTTCGCTGAAACTGAAACGTCGTGTATACTCCTTGAGCATGCGGTCAGTTCTGCCTCATGGTTACGAGACCCTAAATTTGCGCGTGGAAGATATTCGTCGTCTTGAAGTCTTCAACTGCAGATGTTTACGTAGGTTGGATGGAGCGAACAACTCTGAGGTAAGGCATCGCGTATTTGGTAATGATTCGATGGAGAATTCGTTGTCCCATCGAATGTAGATTAGTCGGTTTCGCTGGTTAGGACACGTATTGCGCGTGTCCAGTCATCGTCTACCGTCCCGCGCCTTATTCGCAGTTGTGGCTCCGGGTTGGAAGAAACCGCGTGGAGGTCAACAGATGACGTGGAAACAAGGCACAAAAAAATGCACAGAGCGATTAGGTAGGATCGGTGTCTCTCGTCTTCCAGGTTGGGGTCCGAGACTCTGCAACTGGCTGGTTGGAGACACTGAAGGATATGGTGACCAACCGACAGCAGTGGCATTCTTGTTGTCATTTCTTATCAGATCAGAAAAGGTATGAATGTATACTTAGATTGTGTACTCTGTGTTGACCATAGAGGTTCACTTTATTTGCCTCCCTCCAATTAGACCCAATACCTCTCCATCTTGATCACTTGATTTGCGTACCTTTCTTTTTTTATCACACAACAAGTGTGATAAACAGCAGACGGGGCGAACCCCATAATCATGAGGACCTGCTGCTCCGTCAGGGAAACCTGTAATCTAGGCCCTGGGACGTGAAGTGGCGAACCACATAAGGCCCCGCTAGGTTAGGCGTGATACAGAACCGGGTTACAGCAAAGCTATCTACTACCAAAGTTAGGTGGCGGAGCTCGAACCTCGAACCATAGGGTCCGAAGCACACCGGTGAATAAACCACAGCTCCACCACCACTTGGCAGCGATCAGTTAAATTCGCTTCATTGCATCTTGCTGTACGCTGATGATGATGTCCACACACGGTAATCCAAGATCAGGTTAGTGCAGATTTCGCTCAAGCGAAGATTCAACTTTCGGACACCACAAACTGCTTGCAAACCCAAGTGATCCACATCATTTCGGAATACGGAGATTCAGGTCTTCAGTTGGCCTCCGCGGCGACAATTCCACGTTGGACAGGGCGTAGGAGAGACGCCTAGTTTCGTGAGTTCACTCGATGGTCTTGTGAAGCCAAGGGCAAACTACGGCAGATGTACGTCTCTGTTGCAGGAGTGTGTGAACTCTTTGAGCTGAAGCAGCGTTGATGGACATGTTCGATGACATGTCATTTAACTTTCACTATGCCATGCACCAGGACGGAACAGATGGTCGTAGACCTGGAGACGCTTATCTTGGTTTGAAAACTCATTTCACGATGGCTCTACAGCGGATTTTGCAGAAAAGCTAATCTAGCGTTGCTAATATGAACGTAAGTTACGTCCCTAGCTTGCCCGATTGATAAAATAGTGGATGGAAGGAATAACAATGACACCTTTTCTACAGCTTCTCGACCGATAAATGGTGAGGTGTCGTTAGCAGCTAACAGAATCTTAGTTTTGAATTTATAGATCTCTGAAATGGCTGCTTTGGCCAATAGTTATCCCAGTCTGAGTATTCGTTGTGAGATCCTAGTTATACAATATCATTTGGGAGTTCGTAGTCCATGAGATGATGCAAAACGGGAATCCTTGCCATAGGTCAAAATTCACATTGAACTCGGTTGAAGTCTACCCATAAGTATGGATTCGAGCGCTTGTCGAGGGATAGTATGACATAAGAAAGTCGATGATTGTTGTGAGCATTCCGTTGGCACGCAATAGTACAAACTACAGTGAATATCTGCCCAAGGGTTCGGAGCAGAATTTGATGAAGCAAGCGGTGTTCGATCGCTAGAATTTATGGCGGTTTCAGCACCCTTCTCAGTGTGACGATTTGATCCAAGCAACCCCTTTTGCGATAGAAGCCGCAATTTGTTTGACCTAGGACGGGAATCTATGGTCGACATGAAGCGATTCACTAGATTCATCACGAAAAGTTTGGTAGCAGTACCGATCAGGCTACTTCTAGTATGGCCACCAGAGACTATGTTACCGCCCTTCTCAAGGACGAATGAATCCGAGGGCTCGGACGTTGAAGGAGGGGGATAGTGGCAGGTTTGAAACAAGTGTCTACAGTTGCCGTTAGACACGAGATAGCGTGGAATTATGATCGTGAGCATGACAGTCTGTATGACGCAGAAAAGAGCAAAGTGAATATGAGATATGCTTGCAATGTTATGTTAGCAACACCATAAAAAAAGCTGAGGAAAAAACATTTCGGGGGTGATGGATAGATGAGCAGCAGAACTAAATGACAAAAAAAATCGACGCTTACTTCTTCCACAAGGGTATCTGAGACCAGTTCAGACCCGTCTGATTTGAGCCAACTACTTCGGACGAGAGGAATGTCATCGATCAATTGTCGCAATCGACCATTTAGTGGATCCAAGATTGAGACTACATCCAGCACCAGTTGTTTGCATGATTCCCCCTCGGATAAAAGCCGACTGTTCTGCGCACAGGCCTGTGAAATGACAAATCCGGCCTCGGTAGCCAGTCTGGTCTCCTCGTCAAACGCACTCATCGGGACATCCTGATGTGTACGATTCACTTTCAGAGCCAGTAGTCGTTTCCGACGTCTCTCGGACCAAGGAGGATATTCGATTGCGAATGATTTGTGATGCGTTTCGTAGTGTCGTTTCAGATTGCACGATTTGAAATGTGTCAGGGCTACATTGCAAATCAGACACAACGGTCGACCGCCAAAATTAATGAACGCAAACTCTTCTTCCCAACGGGGATTGAAATTCCGATTTCGATCCTTCAGTCTGCGCTTGTCCAACAATGTGGACGACATTCAGATAATCTCTACACAGGACGGAAATGAGATGATCTGGAGGGGGATGGACAAAGGAACCTATGGTCGGTGTCAGAGCCCAGTATGATGTGGTACTAAGGTATATACCCTGGGCGAGTCAATTTTTCTGCAAGATGGAGTAGACAGCTGCAAGAGACAAAAAAAGGAGTCCGATAAAGGAGAGTTGACATATTCAGGTAAACGAAGAAAGACGACAAGTATATCAACTTCAAGGAAGTTCAAGATAGACGGAAGGAAGAGGTGTATGGTGTACCCGGTAGGAGTAACACCTCTGACTCGGAGGGCTGTCGGCCCCCTTGGGGCATCCTCCGTTCTTTGGTCTCCACCAGCCGTTCAGCTCTCACCTGTGGCTCCAAGAAGCTGTTTGGATGCAACAGCGGACACACCAGGTTGAGGGTAACCCGGAGCTCAACTCCCAGTGAGTCGGTACTTGTTGAGCGGACGAAGTCGCCTACACGACTCAGCTGTCAATACAATAACTCCGTACTCATCAGGGATGCATGGATTCCTGTTCAGCTAGGAACTGTCAATGGCGTATGAGTTCCCCCAGAGGCTCACCGGCAACCATGCGCTACCTTTCTGATGCCTTACAGTTAGCACTTGGATATGCAAAGGCTAGAGATGTCACCTCTACCCAAAGCTGGACGACGCTGGAGACGTTTCCTGTACCGAACTCCCAAGAAATTTCATGGATATTCACTTGATATCCATGAAGCAGATATATCCTCTCCCAGGAGCCAACCGCCGTAAAAGAGTAAAAAAGGAAGCACAACTAGTAAAAACCATCAGTTAAGTTTGTCTCGAATTGATAGCAACCGCATTGAGAAGTGGATGTGAAATAGAATCAACGTTTCAAACCAGATGGGGCATAATTTGATCCACCAATATTCATAAATTCTCATAAGCTGAAGATTCATCAGTATCAGAACAGACAATCCAGTTTCGAACAACTGAGACGAAAATACATTTACGGACGTCCCCAAGAACAGACCGTGCCTAATAAAACTGCCAAAGTCTGTCCAAAGACCCTCATTCGATTCTAGAAAAACTAAAGGATCCATCGGAACCAAAGAAATTCATCATTTGGAAATTTTTACTAGATGGGCGTACGAGCAATTTACAATGGGTTCCATTTGACAAAGGCCACCTTTTCCGGTGCTCTATCGGATTGTCTGCGTCGAAACAACACACCGCGGGAAGTCTTTGTGATAGTCCATCCACTTCAACGTGGACGCAATCAATGCTAGATGCCAAATCGAAATCGATGATTTTTACGAAGAATTCACAATCGGGGCCGTCGGCTAGCCAGAGATGCACCCGTAAGACAGCAAGGAATGCAGTTCATTGGAAATCAGTATCCAGACACTGAAATTATTCGTCCGTGAGCTTCATTCTTTCCATATTCAGTGGCTTTTACGATCAATATACCTTAGGTCCCGTTCTTTCAGTCATTGTTTGGAGGTTTGAAGTCAGTGGTTCTCTCTCTCTCTCGATAAGTTATCCATTCAAGTCTGATTAACTGGGTCATGGCTTCGGACATTTGGAATATGCACCGAGCTGGCACACGAGGACCACATCCTCGTTGTCGGATCTAATACGCAGTTATTTTACACGCGTCTGCATCCATATTAAGTGCCAAGCAAATCACAGTACAACAATCCCCATAAAAATGAAACCAGTCCATGATTTGCTTGTGGATAGACTACTGGAAGATGAGTTTTCTTGGGGTATTCACACTAGGAGCCACTGGCTGGGGCTAAAGCTGACTTGTACGGCAGCAGTCTGTGTCCAATCATATGCTCTTTGAACGAGGTCAAACGTCCGAGGTGCCAAATTTGCATACCCCCAACTCGGAAGGTGTGGTTCGTACGCCTCAAGATTTTTAGCTACCCTCCCACAGGTGAACTGCCAGTGGTTCCCCGACCCGGATGATGGCTTTTCGTCCTTCCACTTTGCAAGGGAAACACCTAAACTACTCGGAGGTAATGAGTAGAGCTGTCTCAGTAGATGCTATTTTTGACCCTTGATAGTGTAGGAGCGTTTCGCGAGATGAGACCAACCACAACCATACTGAGGCTTTCGGAGGTGTCACCATCAAACTGAATGAAAGTAAAGACACTACGAATATCAGAAAATCAAGCATTGACACAGTAGCCATCTTGTTAATCCCCATGAGACCATTCCGTTCACGGAAGCTAACAAACAATTAAACACATCCAAGTGTAGATAAATAGATTTGAATGAATCTTAAAAAAAGTGATGCGACGGAGGCTTCCAAGCGCAGTCTTTGACCTCCGGTTGCCACTGCAATACGAAAATCCATGACAGCATTCAGACCTACACTACTTAGTGGTAATGAGTACGTGGAACTACACAATCGATAGACTGTAATCAACAAGATCTCATGTCTGGGTTACCTTTGGTAGTGTACAACTATGCAGCTGATGGCGTGAAGACACTTTTCGGGAAGAACTAATGGAGACTCAAGCATTTAGAACAGAGCAAAGATAGGTCACGAGGTCAAGATCAATAACGAATGTCATTTGGCATGGGACAATAGATCGGGAGACCGCCTGACCATTGTGGCATTTCATTCGACCAACCGGTCAAGATCGATAAAGATCACGTCACGCTCAGTGAAGAAATATTAGACTGATAAACGAAGTGCGAGGAACCAGCCGTTCCAATTTATTCACAACTTTGTGTATGACGTTGAATTTCAATTTGTATGGGAATGCTACAACACTGACAATTAACATGAGACTCTTTGTATCCGTAATAACATACTGTGCATGGTTAATGGTTGTACAAACTGAACTGAACTAAGTAATAGCATATTGGAAAAACCGGAAGGTTTGATTGATCAACCAGAGGATGAAAAAAGAAACGAATTAGGTAATGTATTGATTGGGGATGCGCTGGCACATTCGAGCATGGGTGAACATGAATGGACTGAGGATGAAATAAATAAGCTCATCACGGCAAGAATGAATCTTAACAGGAGATGGATGGTTTTTGAACCTTCGAGACTCGAAGAGCTCTATAGAATGTTTATATACGGCGAATACTATTGTAAATTAGTTCTGTTTTTACAATCATTAGCCAGGTACTTTCGTGCGCCGATTTTGGCTGCGCATTTGAATAAAAGAGCAGAATGAAGAATGTCATGTTGAGAGCACAGACAAAAGGGAGATAGAAAATTCGTATAAACTGCGGTTGCAAGGATATGCGGTAGATGCACGAGTGCCACTTTTTACAACTCAGCTATATTACTCCGCGTCTCTGTCCACCGGTTAGCATGATCCCGGGGTCCCCATCCAAGGAGCCTAACGGGACCTATTTGACCCAGCGTCCTCGTTTTTCATGTCCTCATTAGGCGACTGTCAGTGGCCTGTATGGGGCTATAGGATCCGAAGTTCGAAACCTCCCACGACCACTTTGGAAGTAAGCAACTGTGTTTGTGCTCCACTTGATAAACCGGCTATTTCAATTGAGGCTTATATGGGTGATCACTTCAAGTCTTAGTTTGCCGGTTCCCTTTAACTCTCGGTTCCAATCCATATGGCGTCCATCATCGTGGTGTGTAATAAGAGATTCTAAGAAGAAGGGACAGATTTATCCGTGAAAACGGAAGAACTGAGATAAAATTGAGTGAGAGAATCAGGACGGCTGACACTGTTGAAAATGCCTTTGAGTCCCCTGGACGTTTCAGCCCTGTAACGCTTAATCAACTCATTTAATCGCACTATCCTCTGTCGTAGACTTACCAGGGGGAATAATATATCGATACAATTCACTCCACTCATTCAATTCATCTCCACATATGCAACCAAAGCTGATTTCATGAGCATGATAACTTACGACTCGAGTTTGGTATTCAGATTGCTTCCTGCAAGCATACTAATACAAAGCTGATCCCAGCTGACTAATGTTGTACCGTTAAAAGTAGTCACTTGAGAGCTTAAAATAAATTCACTTGGATGTGGAAAAGGTAATCAGACCAATATTAAACTGAAAGGTAAAACTAGAAGATTACAATTTGCGAATCCTGACCCATATCCTAGCGACAACCTATCCGTGAAAGAACCACTTTTACCTAAATTCATCCCCACTTGGAATCGACAGATTGGCACTGCTGATGAGAATCAACCAGATCGAAACAGTTGTACATCCTAGCTTTTATGTTAACGCTTCATTTGTTGTAGACAAGACGAATTTCCTCTTAGAAATTTGAACGGATGAATACACACGTCCATTACAAGTTGGCAAGGCACTGGAAACTCATTGAGAGTGCAAAGTGTATCTTGGGAAAGATGCAGCAGCTGCATTTGAAAAGTTCTAGATAGAAACATCACTAACTACCTTTGCATTTCAGATTGATTAACGTTGATCTAACTGACAGATAGGCTCATGTTGTCACCAGAAAGAACACTAGATTACATCTCTCGGGACCTTAAGCGGTTCTCTACTTCAATTTAAGAGACTAAAGACGCCGGCTACAAACACCACGCAGTGAGTCCTCGTGACTATGAGGCTCACGCTCTTCGATTGCATGTCACGCTGTGACACGTGATGCGAAAGTCCTGGGGGATATTGATCTATTAGTTCTTTGCAGACTGCTTCAATCTATTCAGATTAAGACTCATTGTTCTTTGGATCTTTCATCGTTGCATTTCCAAGTGTTGTCCATCAACTCAAAATTTGATGAGAACAACAAAGAACTCCAGTGGTGGTAGTTGTAACATCGATATCTAAGATCACGTCTCATCATCATCATCATTATCATCGTATAGCGAAATACAACGGGGCAAACTTGACTGATCGCTGCCAAACTCGCAATGCACACACAGTGGCAATATGTAAGGCAGACAGGGATTGGACCAATTTTGAGGGAGGAGGAAAAAAGTGAATCTCTTTGGTCAACACACAGAGTACACCATCTAACAATACATACACCGTTTTCGAGCATTCTGATCTGA